GGAATGATCTGGTATTGTAAAATTATTTTTTTATATGTTGCACACCGTGTGAAAAATCAGTCGTATAACATCAACGTAAGTAAAAATACTATTGAAAAAATCCTACTTATTTTCGAAATGCGCCACTCATTTGTTAATTTTGAAACCCCCATTGTTTGATTTTAACTTTACATATTTTTATTTTGCTATAATAATGCTTTCTATATTAGTCGATAGATATTTTCAAATTTTCCCCTCTTATCTTCGGTCGTTAGAGCATTTTTTCGTGTCTCATAATCAATGAAAATGGTATTTCTTTTGAACAAATTCATAATGCATTTTATTTTGCATTAAAAAAGCTACAAAACAAACCAAAGCAAGAAATCACAAAAAAAGTTAATGAACTTTTAAAAACTTTCAAGGTTAGTTGAAATATCAAATAGTTGAAATAGATGAAATCAAGCAATATTTTGAAAGATTAGTTATATGTTTTTTTTTTTTTTTTTTTACATGTAGGGTCATCTATACTATATTCAATCACTTATTATTATTATTTTGACTAACTTTAATATCTTGTAGACTCAATACCAAGGTCTGAAGTTTATAGACTTCGGAATAGCAATTGATACTGAAACTCTTCCTCCATCAATCCATCAAGACATTAAAGTTGCCAAAATTAATTACAAACTACATAAACGAAGAACCAAGGCCAACCAATAAATCAATGAAAGAAGACATCCAGGCTGGATTGATGGAGGCTTCAAGTATGGAATGGACAATTGTGACTGCTGTTAACACACATCGAAATGCTTATTTGGGTCAATATAAGCATTTTCAATCGTGAGGATGCTGAGAATGGTGCCTTTATCTCTATATATGTTCAAACCATACTAGAGATAAGAGACGGAAGAACATGTCAGGTTTAACTAATGAGGACAAAGGTCAGCTACTTGACTATGTTTATATTTTAGTCAAGAAACAGCCATCATGTCAGTTATTCTCTGCATTTCTTTCTGATGGTATATTTTTTATGTTGTGACTTACAGTATAACAAAGAAAATCATATGTACAAGAAGTTTAATTTGTCTTATTTATTGTTGTTACTGAAACTGAGACTGAAGATTAAACTAATTTTTTTGCAACTAATTGAAATAATTCTTAAAACAATTTAGTATGCTTAAAATTAGCGTTAGAGTTTGAAACCGGTTTTATTTTTCATATCCGATAACTTAGCATATTCCCAATTTTGGTTTAAATAATATTAATAACCTTTTAACTTGTTAATGAAATTAAAAATCGCCATGCGATGTATCGTTGCCCTGATCAACCAATCAAGAGACAAGATTTAAAGTGAAAATGAAACGATTCGTCCTAACATAATCCTATGTTAGATAATCTTAAACTATTGTTTTGCCCGAAGCCGGACTCGATTACTGTTCGTTTTTGAATTTAGTTAACGTTAGATGATAATTTTTTTTTCCTAAAAAAAATAGGGTTAAATTTTATAGTATATATATATATAGTATAGTTTAGCTATTTGATATAATCAATAACATAAAAATAAATATACTAAAAATCTGATAATTATATTGTGTTAATAAAAAAAATTACAAATCGTCCCGTGTATGAGATGTTACTAAATAAATTTAATACTTCTAATAGTAATGTAATAATTAATAATAATAAATATGTTAAAATAAATAAGAGCAAAAAAAAAAAAAAAATTATATCCAGAAAATTAGAGAACGAAATTATTGGATCCCGTCAAGTAATAAATTTTAGAGATTTTATATATAATAAATATAAGATATTACTCGGGATTCTGTACTAAAGATACAAAAATATTTTGAAAAACAATAAATCAAGTATAAATCTGAATAATGATTAGTTCTAATTATTTTCTTCTATATATTTCATAATAAACCTCAAATCACTCATAATGATCGTAATCGCAATATTGATCATATTCAGTGTAATAATCATCAAACTCATCTACATCACTATAACAATTATCATCATCAGGTTGACAATAGAAAGTGTTTCTAAAGAAAGCCGGAGCGTGTTCAGCAATATTTATTACGATTAAAAGTGTTGTAACAACACCAATCATAAAAGCTCCCATGATCTTCCTTCGTTATATGTGAGGCTTAGATTATTATTTTTGTGAAAAGATGGTGTAGACGATAGCAATGATAATTGTATTATTATTTCAATATGCTTTTTTACATAAAGTACTCAATTGTGTATAAAAGTTAATGCAACTAGCTGGCATTTTTTCTACGACAACCTCTTTACTTCGTTATAAGCACCAGATCAACTGTTTTTAAAATTCAATTCTCACATATATGATTGAATTCCTCATAGAAGATGTGCGAAAAATCAACTTACATGTCTGTTCCGAAAAATGAGTATATAAATCATCTGCGGATGATTTTGGACAAAAAAGTAACAATCATCGTTTATTTTGCAATACAGTACAATGCAAAGGTACAAATACATATTTGATATGAATTTAAAAAAATAATTATGGATAGATCTGAAGTAATTCATATGAGGACACAAACACAGACTAACTATAAACGCTAACATAATTATCTTTTCTATGCCGTCATTTGCATGTACTATTCCGAACTGAAGTTTAAACAGTTCCATTCTAATAAACTCATTTAGCTTATAAAGTCATTTGACTAACGTATACAATGTGGAATTAAAAGAGTGTGAATATCTTGACCATAAATAAAAATTATAGGATAACAAAACAAGGAACATGTTAAAAAGAATCTATCTCTTGACTAATCCAAATAATGAAAATAATGATTAAGTGGAAGTTAAAAAGAATCTATCTCTTGACTAATCCAAGTAATGAAAATAATGACTAAGTGGAAGTTTAAAAAAATATATTCGTATTTTTTTATATTTTTAATTAGATATCGATACAGGGCTCAATAATATTCTTACTGCTCTGTTCACTGAATAAAGTACTATAAAATAAAATAGAGGTCCAATCTGGATAAATCCGTCATTCGTTTATCCGTATCTGATTATCCTGATAATTCAAATCGCTCAATAATCCGGACGGATATTCAGATCCGGATGTTTGTGACCACAAATACAAAATTACAACTAGTGATGTCAACATGACGTTTTTACATTACTATATTTCGGAGTTTTGTACACGATAAAACTCCGATTATTACTGTATATATATATATTGTATTAAAATAAATTAAAATAATAAATAAATTTTTTTTAATTTTAATCATTTATTTATATATCTGATATATATTTTTTATTATGGTTATGCATGATGATGTTAATAATTATAATTCATATTTGGATACATAGTTATATATTATTTTGGAATAACAATGTAGTTGTTCGCCTTTATAATCAAAAGCAACAAGCAGTTGATAAAGGTGTTGGGTTTGAAGAGTACGAAGTGGAATAATTATATTTTTGTAATAGGTAAAATTTGACCAAAAATATATTTAAAGTAAATTATCATTTGTTTATATTATTTCTTTTCTGTTGTTAAGTATTTATAAATAAGTGATATTACAAATAAATATAAAAAATTTGAGCTACAACAAGAAAAACTTATTTATTTTAATATGGTAATTACTTCAAAGAAGAAATAAAGCATAAAAGACCATGTCTGCTAATCTCAGATTATAAGATAGAAGTTCTTTTCCACTACTCTAGTACAATTATTACAACTAGCGCTTATACTAAAAATATACCACCTTTTAATATAATTTTGACTTTTTTATTTTTAAGTATAGTATATTTATTTATTGTTATATATTAACAGAAAAAAAATAATATGTATATGGATTATTTTTTTTATACATAGCTGTAATACAAACCTGCAAATAAATATAATAACTATATTTCTTGAGTTTCTTAAGTTATTTTATTAATATAAATTAATATAAATCTTAAAGTTTTGAATATTTTTTTGATCAAAAAAGCCAAATTATACATTTTAAGTTTTAAATTGTTTCATTTTTTGTTAAGAAAACAAATTATAGTTCTTGGGCTTCTAGAGATTAGTTTAAAAATAAAAAATTTTTCTAGAGTGTGTTTCCAGATATTATTTTTTTTTGATATACAGTATATTAAAATTACTATTAATTTTAGTAATTAAAATATTAAAAACTTGTAAAATAAAGACATATAAAAAAATATATAAAATAAATAAGCAAAAAAAAAAAGTTTGCTTTACTTTTTATTGCTGTAATATAAGATACTATGAGATACTATGTTGAATCACAATTCGGTAAAATAAAATAAGATTTCCTGATTTTAATTTTTTTTTTTTTGTTTTTTTTTTT